TCTCTCTCTCTCTCTCTCTCTCTCTCTCTCTCTCTCTCTCTCTCTCTCTCTCTCTCTCTCTCTCTCTCTCTGTGTCTCTCTCTCTCTCTCTCTCCACCTTCGCCTGACCTCTTCCCTTGCTCCGTGCCCCACCTAACCTCTGCCCTCCCTCCGCCCGACTTCACCCTGCCATCTTTCCCCTTCCTCCCGGCCTCCTTCCACTTCCCCCTCTTCCTCTTCACGCCTTTTCCCATGCTCGTCTCCCCCTTACCATCCCATCCCTTCCTCCATACGTCACTCAACCTCTAAACTACCTTCTGCTATCTGTCCTCCCTCCGCCCTACTTCTCCCTGCCGCCTCCCTTGTCTCCCGGCCTCCTCTGGACCTTCTCTTAAGACCTCCCTCTGCCCTCCCTTCGCCTGGCCACCTCACTCCCCTTCCTTCACCCAATCTCCGCCTCACCTCCTTCCCTCTATCTCCTCCGTCCTCCTTCCTCCGCCCAATTTGCACCGACCTCCTCCTTCCCCCCAATCTCCTTCCTCCCCTTCCTTCCTTCGCCCGATCTCCACCTGACCTCCTGCTTCCGCCCTACTCTCTGCCGCCTTTCCCCTTCCTACAAGACACCTCCGCACCTTCTCTTCCACCTCCCTCTGGGCCCCGTCCGCCTGGCCGCGTCATTCCCCTTCGTTCACCACCTTCGTTCACCCCCTTCGTTCGCCCGATCTCTGTCTTACCTCCTCCTTCCTCCCCTTCCTTCCTCAGCGCGCGATCACCACCTGACCTCCTCCTTCCATTCCTCCCTCCGTCCTAAGCCCTACCTCCCCCTTTCCTCCCTCGACTGGCCGCCCTAACGCCCGACATAAGAAGTGCTGCTTTTTCTTTATCCGGTGGACGTAAACGGTCCATTTGTTATCAAGATCGCTCCACTTCACTTCTTTTAGAGATCTCAGCACGGAGAGAGAAAGCAGGAGAGAGGGTTACCTTCCTGGTTGCACACGAGCAAGGAAAGCAGGAGAGAGAAAAACGTTTTTTACCAAACACACTTCCTCCTCTCGCACTTCCTTACTCGCACCTTCTTCGTCCTTGTCTGTCTCCTCCACCACCAAACGTACGTCTCCTGCCTCCTCAAGATCTTCCTCCTCAGCATTCTCCCTCTGTCTTTTCTCTTTGGAGCGGCCTTATGATTAACTGCCCTGCGGCAGGTATTTCAGGCTATCGATATTTCTTTCCATATTTCTCGCTCTTCCTCCCCAATCCCTACACCCACCACCCTGAGTCAGCTCTCTCTCTCTCTCTCTCTCTCTCTCTCTCTCTCTCTCTCCCTCTCCCCCCCCCCCCCCCCCCCTCCACTCCCCACTCCCTGTGTGCGTCTGTGTGCGACCGCACGCGCGACAGAACATGCTCGCCCTTATTCACATTGAAAAAAAATGTGGCGCTAAGCCTTACGCAAATTGAGAAAGATGGGAAAAACGAAATGCATTCTTAAAAAAAGAAGAAATGCACTCTCTATATCGTCCCCAGATAAGGGGGCAAGAAGGGAGGGAGGACGGAGGGGCCGAGAAAGGTAACGCCACTGGAGGAAGGAGGGAGAAAGCGGGGGAGAGAAGAAGGAAGGAAAAAGGGAGCAAGGAGGGAGGGCCGATGGGGCAGGGGTGAGGGAGGAAGGAGAGAGGATCGAGGCAGGAATGGAGGACGGGCCGAGGGAGGGAGGAGAGAGCCTCAGAGAGGGTCGAGGCAGGAATGGAGGACGGGCTGAGGAAGGAGGGATGGTGATGGTGCCTCTGCTGCCTCTCTCTCTCTCTCTCTCTCTCTCTCTCTCTCTCTCTCTCTCTCTCTCTCTCTCTCTCTCTCTCTCTCTCTCTAGGAGGGATGGTGATGGTGCCTCTGCTGCCTCTCTCTCTCTCTCTCTCTCTCTCTCTCTCTCTCTCTCTCTCTCTCTCTCTCTCTCTCTCTCTCTCTCTCTCTCTCTCTCTCTCTCCTCTCAATGGCCTGACCCGCTTGCCGGCAGTGACCCCCATCCCCCCATTACCTACCTCCTCCCCAAAAGAGAGAAGGAATGCAAGGTTTCAAAAGGGGTTGGGGGTGTGGGTTCGAGGTGAAGTAGAAACACTCACTCTAGCACGAATTCACGACGTCGAAGCTCACGTCGGAGCACTTAGCAGGAACTCACGATCCACGCGCGCGCGAACCACCGATCCACGCAGCACCGATTCCCGAAAGCACCAACTCACAAAGTGTGAGAAGCACCAAAGCACTAAGCACGGAGCGCGGAGCACCAAGCAGCATGGGCCACTGATTCACGAACCATGACGCGCGAAGCACCATGCACCGAATTCACCACGAACCCCCGATGCACTAAGCACCGAATTCACGATGCTCCAAGCACCGAATCCACTATGTAGCAAGTACGAAGCATGAAGCACAGACTCCACAATGCTCCACAGAAGCACCGAGCACATAGCACACCGAATTCAGGATGCAATGCGCGAAGCACCAAGCACCGAATTCACGTAGAACACCGACTCACGTACCACAAAGCACCGAAGCACGGGCCGCGTACTACGAAACACCAAAGCGGAAGGCCGGGGTGGAGAGAGAGAGAGAGAGAGAGAGAGAGAGAGAGAAAGAGAACAGGCGGGACTAAGCACGTCTAGTAGGCGCCGGAGTAACGAGTAGGCGAAAGCAGGGTCCGGAGTAGGCGCGGGAGTAGGTACAGGAGTAGGCGTGGAGTAGCCGTAGGCGCGTCGAGTACCGGCTGCCCACAAAAAACCTTCCACGAATTCACCGACAACCGACAAAAAATGTTGGCGGCGGGATCGTTTGGGGGCTGGGCGGACCGTTCGACCGTGGGCGGGGCCGTTCGAGGCCAACCGGTACCTTTTCCTCCAAACCGCCCAGATTGCAGGCTTATCACCGCCCGCGGACGGCCCAGATCGCAGGCCGCCGTGCCTGCGTGGTGATGGGCCCGCAACCTGGGCCGTGCGATATGACTTAGTGGTTTCTTAGTATTGTAGATGTAGATCTAGATGTACATGTAGATGTAAAGTTTGTAAACCCAGTTTGTAAACACCTTCCGCTCCCCCGGACGTCAGAAAGTCGGGGGACCGGTAGGCTGATATTAGTAATCCACCTTCGGCCTACCCTTAGTACAGGGTGGGCCTACCCGTAGTAGGGGGCTTATTTCTTGTTTTGTTCAAATTTAGTGGGTACTTGCTGTATTGAACATATAGGGGGAACTCGTCCATTACTGATGTATCTGATTTGGGATCTGGACTTCGAGCCCTATTCGGTTGGGATGTTTTTCCTTTTTGTTGAGTTTCGATCTGATGACCCAGTACTTGATACGGAGGCTATTTCTCGCCCAGTAGTCTGGATGCTGTTCCTTTGGGCTTCGTCAGTACTCAAGTCTTTTTCGACTGGTACGCTGGTCTCTTGTTTGGTCTCGATCCGGTGACTAGATGCCGTGGGCTTTTTGTTTTTTTGATAGTTCTTAGGCTTTGTTCGACTGAATAGGCGGGAACGTGACTTTTCGAAGTGAACTACTGAAGTGGTCTTCCTTATTTAACCTAGTAGTATATAGGTCTCCACTGACAGTGGTCTTTCAAACGGACTTTGGCCCCTGATGATCCTGGTAGGCGTGCCAGGTGAAACCGGTAGGGCCGTAACGCCATGCGGGAGCTCCGGTTTCCGCTTGTTCTTCACGCTTATTTTTTGAATCTGAAGTCGCGTTCGGGACACCTGTCTACCTTCTTCTTCTCTCCTTCCCTTGCTTTCTTTCCTCTTGTCAGGTCCTGCTGTCGTAACAGTTTGTATGCTATGCATGTTGGATGAGTTGTGACCTTCATCATTGTTCAAGCTTCAAGCTGACATACTTTATTTCGCGGAATAACCAACGTAGGAGTGGTACTACGGCTGTGTGGCTTCGACTACTACTTTTGGCAATGGCATCCAACGGAGTCAATGTGCCTGGCGTTCGTACATGTTATAACTATGGACAGCCTGGTCACATTTCTAGATACTGTCCCCTTCCTGACCGTAGGTTAAACGGCGTTCAGTCTGGTAACACTGCTATTGTTCCGTCTCAACCTTTGTTGACTGTTCCGCCAGCTGGTGTTGGTACGACAATCCCTTTCTATCCAAATCAGTTCAACGGTGGTGGTAGTGGTTCTGGCCTAGGAAGGAGAGTGTCAACCTTAGAGGAGATCGTCGGCAAGATCAATAGCAAGCACGAAGCAGATGAAGCTAGGGAACGCTTGCAGCGAGAAGAGGAAGAGCGAAAGAAGAGAGAACGGGAGGAGGAGAGAAGGGAGAAGGAGAAAAAACAACGAGAAGATTTTCAGTCACTAATGCATAAAGAAATGTCAACTAAACTGGACAAGGTGTGCGATGCGGTCAACGGGAAGAAGGCCGGCGAGAGTGAGGAGATCATGAATCTGAACGCTCAAATTGAAGACCTTCGACAAAGTCTGAAGGGCAAACAGAAGGTTGTTGAGGACGAGGAAGTGACTAAACTTCGTGCCGAAGTCGAGCGTTTGAAGAGGGGGCGGGACGTTGCTAGCACCTGGACTACTGTTACTAGACTAGTCAGTGAAGCCGAAGAACTGGCGCGCTTGCGTCGAGAGCAGGTTGATACTCAAGCCGCTACTAACAAGAGGCTTGCGTCACTGGAGGAGGTCATCCATGCACTACAGAAGCAGTGCGAGCTTGCCGAAGCTAATGCTGAAGCCTGGAGAAGCGAAGCTCTGCGACCAGGTAACAAGAGAGGCAGCGTAGCCATTGGGCATACACCAGTTACGGAAGCCAGAGTGAGACCGAGGGTTACTCCGGCTGCCTCTCCCTGTACGGTGAATCAACAGATTAAGGGAATTGTCGAACGTTATCAGCGGGAGGTTGATCTGCAGAAGGAGATGCGTTTGTGAGAACTTCAAGTTAATGCACGTAAAGAATCTGAGGAAGAGATCGAACGACTTAAGGAGGCTATGGCGCGTCTGGAGACAGGAAGGAAGACGAGGGGAACAAACTTGAAGACAAAAATGGATGAGGCAGCGCAAAAAAGGATAAGGGCGCTGCAACAACTACTCCGGTGGCCCAAGTCAACGCACGTGAAGCGCACCTACGGGAGGAGAGAAGGAAGCTCAGGAATCTCAAGAAGGAAGATGTACTTGCAATTTGTGAAAAAGAGGGAGTAGAGTACACAAGATTAGATCCAACGAAGGAGGAAATTGCTCAGAAGAGAACGACAAGGATGTTTGATGAGGCGGTAAGAGACAAGAATAAGAATGACTCGGTGGTCGAATTGACCGATGTTGGAGGGGGCGATGGCTCCGAACCGAGCGACGGGCGTGATTCGGCATCTTCTTCGGATCACGCCCGAACGCGTCATCATTATGGCAAGTCGTAAGGCTATGTAAGGAAGTGAATCTGCTGTTCTCTTTGGCGGTGGGTGGGTTGATTCTGTGTGGTGAAGTTCCCTGGGGTACGAAGTTGAGTGGCTTCTTTCTCAAGTCTTTCTTCGCATCTCGTAATAATGGTCTTGATGAGTGGGAGGGGCCGGTGGTGTATGCGTTGGTATCTCCATGGGCAGTACTCAGCGCAATCTTCACTCTCGTTGGAGGGAGCACGCCTACCGAGCATGCCAACAGAAAGTGATTGAAGGGGGGAGGCGAAATTAAAAATTATATCAGTGGTTACGGCGGTGCGGGGCTCATACGTATGTTGTCATTCCTTTGTGTCGGTGTGCTACTGATGATTTGTTGGAGACTGAGAAATTTTTCATCCGTCTGTTTTCACCTGCACTAAACGTAAGAGACAAACTGAAGAAGACAAAGAGATGTTGAAAGGGGTTGAGGGAAAGAACTAGAAGAAAAAGGAGAACTGTCGACGGTAGTACGGTGGGGCTGAGCAATTCTACTACCTACCGGGGATCGGTCTGTGTGTTCCACTCTACGGAGGGATTTTCTTCTGTAAGCTTGTTACGAATTCTTGAGAAGTGTCGTGTCAATGATAAGCACCGTGCTATCGTCACTTGTTCTGGGGGTGAGCGCTTTGTGGATCGGTGGAAGGTTCTTCGTAGACTGTTCGGAGGAAGTTTGGTTTCTTGTGAATTTGGTAAGGGTGAGCTACGTCATGCTCGTAGTTGGATTAGAAGTGGGGTTACGCTTCTCTTTGATCCTGTTGTTCCTTTTCTAAGTCGTTCGTTGGCATTGAAAGCTCCGCTCTCTGGTTTTCTTAGTAATCCCTCTAGTCGCACTGATATGAGGAGCTGGAATTTTGATTCATTAATTGCGGCATACAAAGCAGTACCTACCTTCAGTGAGAAGCGGTCCCGATTCCGCTTACGCTGCCTGCTTTCCAATTATATTTTGGCAAGATTCGGTATCCACGTTCGAAAGAGGCTTATTGTACGAATTGTCTACGATGACTGTGTTTGCAAGGCTAAGGTGAGGCAGCTATGTGCAGAAGTTTTGGCGAGTTTGACTGTGCAGCAAAGATGGAAGGTGATGTTAGCACGACGTATGAGAGTGGTATGGTGTCGGAATTCTAGTATTGGGGATCTTATCCACAACTTTCGGACATACGCAAAGATTGGCCAAGCCGTGTGTTCCTGTGCTTCTGTGGAGGCTTCTTTCCCACGCGAAGATGGACATGTGGCCTTTCGGATCAATGATGTTGATACCTTGTTCCCATATTTTATGCGGAATTTGAAGAACATAGTTCGATCACATCGAGCCTGCTCGGTCTCGGGTTTGCGCTCTCAGTTGCTGGCTTCTTTTCGTTCTCACCCATCCTTACCGTCCGTTGACCCTGCTCTTATGTCTAGTAACCGCATCAAATAATTTTTCTCTGCTACCTCATCTTCTGTTCAGTTCATATGTGAGTACGATATTACCTCCTGTCGATCTCGGTTGGATGGTCTTGTGTGTAGTCCGATAGATCACAATCGCGGCGATACATTTGTCTGCTGTCCTCTTGTCTATGAGCGTGGTCTTCGGAAGCTGTTTCTTGACAATCCGTCTTTTGCCCTATGCCAGGAGAATGACAAAGCGATGTTGAAGAAATGTAGGCAAGAATATGAGTTGAGAGGTTTGCAACAGGTTGGTTTGTGGAAGAGGCAGGGTAGTTTCGGTGAAGCCTACTGTATTCCTAAACACAAGGACATTTCGCGCTGGCGGCCAATCTGCTCGTCGTACTCTGAATGTTCGGCCATAGCGGGTAAGGTGGTATCTCGTTGTGTCAATACTCTGCTGTGGTCTCTCCCTGTGAGTTCAAATCTAAATCTGCGCTCTGCTGATCGTCTGTTGAATGGTATCCAGTTGGTTAACAAATGTTTGACGGAGAAAGAAGAACTGATAGGTGTCTCCTTTGACATCAAGGAGATGTTCTCCAATCTATCGCATGATTCGATTCTGGAAGCTTTAGCTTGGGTTATTGGTTTCTGGCAGGGTCGTGGTGTCACCGGGGTGGCTGTCAAAAAGCAAGGGAAAGGGGCCAAGCTGTTACGAGGGAAGATTGAGATAGGATGGAAAGCTGTGTCTTTTAGTCTGATTTATGATTTCGTCTCTTTCGAGCTCAATCACACATTCGTCAAAGCTGTCGGGCAATTGTTGCAGCAGAAGGTCGGTATTCCTATGGGCAAATGGTCTAGTCCAGCGCTGGCCTGTCCGCTCTGTGCCTATAACAAAAATGTTTTTTTGTCTAGTCTGGGTGGCGATTGGAGGTTATTCCATGGGATTAGATTAGTTGATGATGTATCTGTCTTCATGGTTTGCAAGGAAGGGTGACAGGTGTTCCTACGACAACGGATTACGGCTCATCGATGACTTCAGCCACTGCTACGATAGCAATCTTGTGTTGGAGAAAACGAATACGGGCTGCTGCTGGGATTTTTTTGGGTGCGTTCTCAAGGTGTTCGAAGGTAAGAATGGTGTGTTGTGTTTTCCTATTATGAAGAATCAGAGGGGCAGAGTCAATGGCAAGCTCATATTTTAGAGTATTCAGGACTATTCGTCTTTCACTAACTGTCACCAAAAGATGGTTGTGGTTATTTCTTTCCTATATCGGGCAAATAACTTTTTTTCTATTGAGGGGATGGTGTTTCCCTTTCTCTTTTCTTTGAAATATGAGTTGTGGCGGTGGGGCTATCTGGATTATTTTTTTGATTATGCCTTGATTAATTTCTCGAGGAAATTTGCGGGGCTTTGGAAGGAGTGGTTGTCGGTGCTTACGAACTGGGGTCGATTTCTGCGGGTACGATGAGACGTCGTGAGATGACCCTCGTATTAGGGGGCTTATTTCTTGTTTTGTTTAAATTTAGGGGGTACTTGCTGTATTGAACATATACAGGGGACTCGTTGATTGCTGATGTATCTGATTTGGGATCTGGACTTCGAGCCCTATTCGGTTGGGATGTTTTTCTTTTTTGTTGAGTTTCGATCTGATGACCCGGTACTTGATACGGAGGCTATTTTTCGCCCAGTAGTCTGGATGCTGTTCCTTTGGGCTTCGTCAGTACTCAAGTCTTTTTCGACTGGTACGCTAGTCTCTTGTTTGGTCTCGATCCGGTAACTAGATGCCGTGGTCTTTTTGTTTTTTCGATAATTTTAGGCTTTGTTCGACTGAATAGGCGGGAACGTGACTTTTCGAACTGAACTACTGAAGTGGTCTTCCTTATTGAACCTAGTAGTATATAGGTCTCCACTGACAGTGGCCTTTCAAACGGACTTTGGCCCCTGATGATCCTGGTAGACGTGCCAGGTGAAACCGGTAGGGCCGTAACGCCATGCGGGAGCTCCGGTTTCCGCTTGTTCTTCATGTGGAGTGCTCCCCCTGATATGGCTCCACTTTGTACACAGTGCTATGGCTGAAGGCCCGGATTCGATTTTGCACGTGCACGGATGAGGTCCAAAGTCGGAGAAAGGACTGACTGACCTATTGTGTCCATGCATATATGAGACCAGAAAGGTTGCTTGTATACATGCGGGGTGATACCACTTAGAGTTAAATTTCTACTTGGTTTTGTGAGAAGTTAGGGTGAGATGTGGTATGGGGATATATTCTCTGTACACTTAAAGTTAGCTTTGGGAACTGGGCTGTGCTGTGTTATAGGTCCTTTTTGGTCACTTCGATTCAAAATCTGACTAATTTTCAACTCGATCTTACGAGGATCGTCTTCTGTCATCTTTTGATAACAGGTCGGTTTACGACTCAACTCAAACCTATTTTCGTGACCCAACCCAAAGGCCTTAGCCCGTGTGGTTTGTTCTATTTCTTGGGATTTTCAACCAAACTTATTTTAATCATTTAATGGTCATCCTTAAATAACCGATTATCGTTTTATGGAAAGTTGGGCGATGGTTAGGGTTATGTATGTAAGGCGGGGTGTAAGATCTCAGGAATGGTAAAGTTAACTACATTGGTGTCTGACGAATGTGGCTTTTGTGTGTGCGTATGTTTTTACGCAGGTTGGAGCTTAATATGCAAGCCACACTTTGGAGGCAGTGAGGATGACAACCATATGTCACACGATCTACATACCTGATGAGCTTATCTTTTACCCTTTCTATTCTATGTCGAGTTGCGATGCATATGTGGGTGTTGGGGTGCTTGTTTTTTTTATTTATTGATTGATAATCGATTCGTACGTACGGGAGATACTTTGCATTTTTGGAAAGTCAAAAAAGGGACTAGGCACGATGCACGTCCGTGCGAAGCTTGGCTTATTTTTTTGAAGTGTATTGCGTGGTTAGATTAGTCATGCTAGTCGACCGACACAGAACCGCGCTCGGGAAATTAGCCCTTGAAGTATCGGTTCGCGCGCGGGTCCAATTAACATGTTCGAACGTGCGTACCCCATATGCTACCATGAACGAGAAACGCCCTCGACTGGGCCACCTTTACGATTGCGCTCAAGCAGCTTTCACACGTGGTTCGGTAGCTCTGTGGGGA